GRAAGAGTATATTTAGGAAGATATGCATATAGAATACAAAGTTATGAAGATGAAAAAGTGCTTGGAAATCAAGATAAGCATTTTCAGAGAAGCAGTTAAAAAAAACCCACAATACTACAAATAAAAAAAATGGATTAGATAAGGATGACTTTAATATGCAACATTTAATTTCATAAGCTGTATAGACAGAAAGGTATAAAGTAAATGCAGGGAGGGGCTGGGAGAAGACCTGACCAGTGACCCATGCACAACTACCATTCTGTACAATTACTGCAATACATCCTACACCTATGCAATGCAGATGTTTTAGCTTACTCGCAATGTTTGCAGAGATGCCTTCCCACTGCTGTAGTGTAATCCCTTGCCTACTTCTCCTCAACTTTAGAAACCCTTTGTCCTGATTATTCAGTCATCAGTGGTTCCAGATGCAGTTACATCAATGCATCATAAATAGTAACAGCTATAATTGTAGGCAGTGCAACTACGAAGTGCACAAAGTCTGGAGAGGAAGCCTTTAAATGAGTTTCCAGAGAATGCTATATTAAAATCCACATATAATAATGTTTAGGATATACTAGGAGATTTTACTGAGTAATAAAAACTTTCTTATTAGAACATAATACAAAGATCTGATTTGGTTTTAACAAGAAAAAGGGAGAGAGCAGAAAGTCCTAAAATTTCCTGTAATCCTCACTGTGCTKTTACATGTATCTCACTGACACAGACTGGCTAAAGTACAAGGAGCATAACAGCTGTTACAAGTGACAGAAAAAGTCAGAGACAGAAAAAAAAAGAAGGAGGAAAAACAGGAAAAAAAAAAGGAGAAAGAGGATAAAATTTAATGTAAGGAAATATATATGGAAGCACTAAGATTACAAAAACAACAGAAGGGCTTTTGTGATCTTACAAAAGTCATCTGGTCGGAGAGGTGCACTAAAATGACACTGTCAGTAGCAAAGCCGGGAGCACAACAGTTTTCCTAGCTCTTYTCCATCTGCAGATTAGACACACCTCACAGACAGGACATGTCCTTAGTTTCTGTCAACACTCTGGCCTTCCTGGCTAGCCAAGAAGCACCAGCCAGAGACCATACACSGCTCCCCACAGGCCCAGCCTGCTTGCTTGGGGCATGTCTTCTTTGCAGGACCAAAGGCAGCCAGACTTCCACCTTGAATTCAAGTGCAAAAGCCAAGAGGCAGTCGTTACACAAACTAACAAACTTGAATAACTACATTTATGAGAAGATTTTCTTTCGATAGGAGAAATGTCAGTCCTTTTTGTCTGAAGGGGCCGTAGGAGAGTGTCCCCGAAGGATCCCCAGCAGCACGTGCCCCCATTTCTCTGTGGCAAKTCTGTGCTTCAGCGCTGTGTGTACATGAGGTGAGCAGCCACCCTGCCTGGCTGCATAACCCCCTGTACCTGGGCTTAGGCCTTGCCTGGACTATATGCAACGAATCAGACAGCAACTGTTTATGCCAGAGGCAATTTTAAGTGGAAGAGGGAAAGGAGAGGGGGAGAAAAAAAAAAAATAAAAGAAAAAAAAAAGAAAGACCTGCTGCTGAAACACCAAAGAAAGTTGAGACTCGAGAAAAAAATGTGTCGATGTGTCTTGATTGAATTTTCTGTTCACTTCTCAATATATTAGGCCTGGAACCAGTTTCTCAGTGCAAAATTTTTCTAATTGCCTGGAAAGCATTTAAGGAAAAATCTTTTTAATTAAAAACAGGGAACCAACAAGACATGAAAGCCATGGGGGTTGGGAGAGGCATGTGTTGACCTTATGCAGCTTCGCAGCAGAACTCTGCAGGGGCTGTTTAAACTGAGGGAGCACAATTTTAATTAGAGAGTCCTGAGGAGCAGACATCTCAAAGGAGCAGGTCAGMTAGATTCCAAGAGGTCAATTTAAGCATAAGCAGAGAGGAGACAAGACCTGTGGTCATTTTGCCTTCCTCTGGGATGAATCAGTTGATAGCTGAGCAGTCTCATGCTCTGTGTTTCTCTGCATACAAGCTAGCTGTGACTACGGGTGTTGCACGTCACTGGCAAGTGCTTAAAGGAGAGGAGAAACCTTGTCAAGCACCCACCTCCAGTTTCTTGACATTGGATCATATTCTAAAATAAACTCAATTGTATTTTCTCCCTATGTGTGGAAACTGAGATATGCTTACGCATATTTTTACACAGGACTCTTCACTTTTCYAAGTTCTATAAACAGTGGAAAATCCTGTACAAGAACTCATTCAATATATCACCAAATAGAAAAAAAATCCAAGAGGATTTCTATTTTTATTTATTTTACTTTTTGAAGAATTGGTTATGTTACTATCACACCACTGCCGCTGGCCTTTTCTATTTTCTGTTTGGAGAGAAAAGGGGAGAAAAAATCTAGTTTCCAAACAAAAGGAAATATGGAGGGCAACGTAACCAGAAACCATCACTTAGAGGAGGGCTAAAACAGAAAAATGTAATACAAAAGCTTCCCCATGAAGAAATTACTTTCCAATGATTCAAAAGGGGAAGGAATTAAGAACGAAAGTGATATTTACAGCAATCTCCCAAGAGAAACAATAATTATAGTAAACTTAATTTAGTGGGTCTGCRTAGACACCAATCCTTACATATGTTCATTATTTCTAACCAGAAAGAGATTTCTCTTGCTGGAGCTTTAAGAACTCATGGTTAATGAGCCTGGCTGAATAAGGTGCATCTTTCACATCAGGACATGCTTCAGACAGACAGACAGACAGAGCAGTAAATACCATAAGGAGAATTTCTTTCTGTTGAGCAAGAACAACTAGCAGTGAGGTTAAGCAATCAGTTCAATCATTGGGAGCCACCAGAGATACAGGCTACTTTTCCAAAGCCCCAAATAAATACTCAATAGTGGAGAGGATTATTTCTGAGTTGCTAGAACTTGAGAACTGCATCGTCTTACATCTCTAATCTTATTCTCCCTTGCTTCRCGCAGCCAGGGTGCAAGCTTTGAGGTAAGTACTCATCTATTAAGTTGAGGAATAACCTCACAGAGCTAGCAGGTATACAGTTTGTCCTCCCATATGGACGGAGCTAAGAGACAGCACTCATTTATAAGACAAAAATTAAAATCTGCAATGAAACAGAGAAAATGAGAGGGATGATTGGGAACATAAATTTTTCAAGTAAARCAATTAAAAAAGCACAAGTAACAACACAGGGGACATATAAAAAGTCACTCAGTGTAATACTTTTGCTGAAGGAAGGTGAAAAATGGCTTGACAGTCTATGCAGACACAAATCAAAGACAGAACACTCATGCACCAAGCGATGCCTGTCCAGACAGAAACCTGGAGAAAAAAMCGGACCAGAAGAGCAGAATCTTGGTATAGAGGTAACCAGCACATATTTTCCTCTTTTTCTGCACACAAATACTCTGTTGAAATGTCAGTTTCATGAACAAGTATCCATTTCCACAACATAGTGTACTGAATGCAGAGAGTRGGGGTCTCAGAAGCAATATATCAGTGTTAAGCAGAGCTGTACTGCTCCTAATTCCAGATTCATCAAGTTATTTTTTGTTGTATGATCCATTACCTGTCTGCAGTGAGATGCTAGGTAAGTGAAGAAAAATCTGTGTGAGATTTTACATTGAACATGCAGCAGTGAATACCTCCCATCAAAGAGCTGCTTCTCAATGTTTTATTAGCAACAGCTGCAGCTTTGGTGAATAACYTCAGTGCTGTTTCTGAACTGTCATACAGAAATATGCTCTAGAAAGCTGCATGGCATCTTTCCTATGATCTAACCTCAAATCGTGTCTTCATTGCATGCTGGTTAGATTAGTACAATACAGTTTACCTGAGTTATCAAAAATGTTAGTCCTGAATAWAACTGATTTAGAACCTAACAACTTACCTCCTACTGACAAGCAGATTCTACAAGGAGCACATCCATTCATTTCAGTAGTAGATTATAGATTTCGTTGTACTTAGTTAGGATGTTGTAATTTCTCAAGGATCTAAAATGGTAGTGCCAGGGCAGAATATGTCAAAAAAAAGTCATTGCCCTATTCATATTTTTGGAAACTCTGTTCATTGTGAGCAGAAGTCTTGCAAAGCTTGGCCATGAAGGCAATGATTTATCTGTATTTAGAGAAATATCATGCTTGTCTGTCCATCAAGAAGCATTTCTGAATAGCCCGAAACAATGAGATAAAACAAAAAAAAAACCACTTTAAAACTCATATTTGTATAGCAACATCCAGTATATTTACTTAGAATATGAATTAAAAAATAAAACAAAACATAATTTTAGTTGCATGTAGTTACATGAGTTTGAGTTCTGGTGGGTTATTCAATACCTAATGTGTAGTATAAGATTGCAGCATAAAAATAGCTAAACAACATAGCACTGTGCTCAGTAGTTTTTTGTTGACATAGGAACCTTTTCCTCATGGGTGGAGTTGGRGGAAGAGGCCGCACAGTTGTCAGTGCTCCCCGTTTCACAGCCATCAGCGCCCTGCAGTGTCATCCAGGAGCCCTGCCAGGGCCAGCTCAGGCCCAGCTGGGTGGCCAGCAGCCCTCACCCTGCAGCCAGACACCGTCACAGGCTTTGCCTCCTCCATAGCTCCCAGTCAGAGCACTCCCTACCTCCACTGCTTGTGTTCTCAGCACCTCTTCCCATCATACTTCACATCCCAAATTCTACCCATCTCCAGGTCTGCCACCCCCAATCCCATCCACTGACCTCCCTGCATTCACAGTCATGCACAGGCCCGCAGATACCCTCTCTCAGAACTGCCTGACATGCTATTCTGTACTGGAAGTAGTGCTCATAATGAGGTGCTCCGTGCCAGTTTATGCTTCGGGAATTTTTAAATATTCCATGAGCTCCGGTGATGGTGTCCCTCTATTGCAGCAATAGCGTATTAGGTGTGCTGTGTCAGTATTTGTACTGCATTTATAGGCCAGCAAGCCATTTTGGTGCTAACGCAACAGGAGAGCAACTCACGCTGGAAAACTCACCTCCGTTTTTCCCCACTGTACGGAAACATCTCCAAAAGGTCCGAAGAAAAGATGCCCTGTTGTGGGGGGTAGCTTGGACAAAGCTGAATTCGCGGAACAAAATGTGCGTTCCTTGACGAACACTGTTAAAACTGTGGAGATAAAGTCAAAAGAAAAGAACATTAGAAAGCTGAACCCATGTCAATGTTCAAGGGCCAGCTGGAACGGTCGCAAGARAAAACACTGGCAGTTACATTTTGTGAAACCAAATCTCTGAACTTTATTATAGCTTATATCCACTGGTTCTCTAGAGAGAAGTCTATTTGCAAAAACCACCCACTGGAATTTAATTAGGGGGTTGTAAAAATCCAATTCAGTCCAAAGGATCCCAGAGCAAGGAGTGTCCAAGAGCCACTTCAAGTTCTGAGACCAAACCATTGGCAAATTGCTGGCCACGAGTTACCGGTTGTTTGTGTGACCAGCAGATGCCCTCTGTCTTTGTGCATTTTAGACTTCATTGTTATTCTTGCCAGATTTCCCTGAAGCCACAGCAACAACCACCAAAAATCCTCCTTAACARAAGTTTCAAGATTTTCATTTTTAGGTTACTGAAACTTGACTGTTTTGGATGTATAAAACAGATTTTAGCTTTCAGGAAACGCAGATTGATATCTCTCTAAATGGCWCTTGCACCAGTGCTGAAAGGGGTCATTTCTGCATTCCATTTTGACAAAACAAAACAAAAAAAAAGAGCTGGTCATGATGCYGGAGAGCCAATTTGATTTGCCCATTCTCATATCTTAGTACAAATTTCTCATATTTGCATTCTAAGCACTTTGGCTAATGCTCACTATTATGGTAAATACCTATTTTCCCTTAAAAAATACAGGTTTCTCTGAAGTTTAAGAAGCTCTCCTTTGGGCATGGGGAAGCTCAACAAGCAAGAACAATAGAAATGCAAATACAAACATTATCCAGCAAAGGTACAATGGCCRGATTGCCTCAGAGCTGGATGCTGTGCACTTCACTCTGCATCTTGCAAGTGGGACAAAGCTTTTAAACACTCCAGAGAGATAATTAAAAAGATTCACTTGGGACAGCAGCTTAACTCTCTCCCATGGCAGACTGTTAATGAAAAGATCCAGGTTTATCTTTCATCACAGCAGAGCATCTCCATAGGTAGCATCTCCACAACAGACAAAAACCCGGGGTAATTGGGAGCCTCCTCGGTATGCAATTTTAAAATCATCTCCTGGTTTGTAAGCTAGTTTAAATCACTTTACCCTTTACACTATAGAAAAGGGTCTCATTTTAGAGGATCATACCAGAGTTAAACACCATTAAAAAGTTGTGCAATGCTTTAAAAATATATATATGAGTTCAATTGTTCACATAAGTCTCAAAATACTTGCTTTTTTTCCCCTCTCTCAACAAAATGCAAATAAATGCTTTTTTTTTTTTTTTTTTTTTTTTTTTGCCAATTGTTGACAGTTAAAATGCAGAACAACATTTCTAGTCCTCCTATCCAGGACGAAATGCAATCCAAGCAACAGAAGTACAAATGATTAAATCAATACTAAGTCATACTCCTGACTTTTGAGTCCTGGAATACTCTTTCTGTGAACATTGTGGACAAACATATTACTTCCTATTTTTGAAACCTTTTTTCACACACCAACGTGTACAAAACAGAGGAAGGTGCAGCCTTTGTCCCAGGATATTTTTAAAAAACAATTCATCTGCTTGCTCAAAATATGCCACAGGCAGAGGAAAGAGTCCCCATGAGCATGTTGTAAATGAAGAGCATCCACCACAAGGTGCTGCAGCTGCTTCAGAGTGAAGGGTACTCGGGGAGGGAAAGGGGCCTGAGGACCTACAAGGTGACTGTGACAGAGCTGGAAATGACATTTCAGATCTTGTCATTACATGCCATAGCCTGCAAGACATCCTTCTTTCCCCACTTCCATTGTTTTGCTGATGGATTCTGATGGAGAAAAGAGATACAAAAATGGTACAAGAGGAGAAGAAAGGMGATGCTTGAAGAAAGGAGATGAGAAACAAGAGAAAAAAAAGGAAGGGCACAGTTGTAGAGAGGCCAGARGGAATGAGAAGGAATACTCCAGGAAGTTTTAATCTGAAAAAGAAGAGGGGAGAGCTAGCTGCAAAATGCTATAACTAAACACACCAAATTATAGTGTTCAGAACAACTAGAGAACATGCAAAGTCTGGAAGCAGATGCTGGCACAACTATAATGGAAAGGTCCAGACGTGAAGGTAACATACTATTAACTCACAGCAGACAGCCCAACTCTATTACTTTTTAGCCCTAATAAGTGAGAACTCGAGCCACTTGCATTTTCAGCACGTGATGGCTCTAAACCCAGCAGGCAGAGGGGTATGATATCATTTGTTGTTGCTTACCCAGTTGAAAGAGTGGGTGGATGTGCTGGAAGCTGAGCACACCTCGGGGTGCTGCCAGCCAAGCGCCGYCAGCTAGGGGAGTAAAAGAGGCAGWGTACTGCTTTTATTCCCAAGCCTTGCCTGTAAGACTTTATTTAGCTGTACACTGGCTATTTTGGGTTTTTTGTTCCAAAATTTTGTTCCAAATTTTGTTCCAAACTGTTCCAAAAGCTGAAATCTGAAAGCATTGCAGGCATAAGTTTGTATCCCTACTAGGATACCACTTTTTAGAGACACCACCTTATAAGTTAGGTTTGTCTGTTGTGAATGCACAGCTCAAAAGAAAGGGCCACTTCCTGCAGTGCAGGATGGAGCTATCCAGCAGCCTCCCAACAAATCAGCAGATCTGGTCCCCGGCAGATCTGGTCTCAAGATCACTACTAGAGACAAGAACAGTTACATCCTACTATGTGTTTTGAAACCTTTTTATAAGGGATAGATCTCAGCAAAAATCTTGGCCTACTTTTTCTTAACAATGGCCCAGATATGAAAAATTATTGTTGATGTGGCAAGTAGTAACAACTGCCTACAGGTAAGCACTTTGGAAAGAAAAAGGAACTAGGACGATCAAAAGCTACTGCAGGAATTCCAGCAAGATCAACACATTAGTTATGATATCCATGAACAGATGTTTCTGCCAGTTTCTCTTGGACATGGAAATAAAACAAGCTGCTGTCCCAGAGGACWGGCTTAAGTAAGCAAGACATCAACAGTAAGGCAACAAGCTTAGCTTAGAACCAAAAATCAAGCAAGTTTAACAGCTGCTAAAATTCTCCCCTTGGGGCTGCTGGGCCCTCCTTCCCCTGCCCTCCTCTCAGTGCACAACTTGTGTGTTAGGAAGGTGGACAGCCAGAGTTCATCAGCAAACAGACTGATGAACAACCTTGGGGATCTCAATAAGCTCTGATTTAATCCTCCAGCACTTAGAAGGGGCATTGTGAAASTAGAAGTTGGTAAAATACAAAGTTCTGTTCTTATTTATCTTACTCCYGCTTCTCCCCTCCGAAGTATTTAAGAATATCTATCTACTTACAGCAACTTTACAGGTTGCAAAGCCTCCGATTGCAGACCTAACAACAATTAAAGGTTACCTTAGCCCTCTACAGCCACTGCAGCAAGCAATGTAGCACATGAACAAGGTTACTGGTGACATGGTTTTATTTATCTTGCTGAAATCAGGATGAGAAATTGAAGTGGATGTTCATTCGGTCACTGCAAAAACATTTCACACACAAACTGTTGCACAGCTGGGCACTCCATTAGTAAAATGGCTTTTCCCACTACAGAAAGGAGAGGAAAAAAGTAAATCAAGGCTCTTGCTCAACTAGTAGATCTAGAGAGACTTTTGCAGTAGAGATTTCCAAGATACTTCACTCCTTTTCTGTAAGCCCCCTACAGCGGCCAAACCACAGGAAAAAAATCTCTTAAGATGCCCGTGATGAGAAAGATGGGTCTTGCTCTGCACCCTGCACCTGTGGGATGGCACGTGCACACTGCAGCAAGAAGCAAGGTTGGGAAGGAGACSGTGATAAAACAGCCCCAGCTCTGAGAACTGGCTGTGCTGGGAACTCAGCACTCAGGTGCTGCTTCTCCGAACAGCGCTGCTTTCAGCAGGGCTTTGTCTTTTGTGTAATTACGTTTCGGCGACTTGCCAGAGTTCAGAAACTTTCAAGCACTCTTTTCAAACCTTTGGACTTCCAAATAGACTGTAAAAGCCCTGGGATGCTATGGTAACATCCCAATAGAAACCCACTCCAGCCGTGAGCCTCAGCCCGCTGAACTCGGGCAAAGCCGACCGCGCGCGGAGCAGGGAACCCCGTGTCCCCGAGCGGGGACTGGGGCCGGCCGGGCCCCGCCTGCCCCTGCAGGTGCCACCGCTGGCTTCCAAAGCGGCCAGCGGAGCCGCTCCGCAGGAGCCCTCCGCTACTAAAGGCAGAGATAGGAACGAGGAGGGACACTCCTTAACTTTGAGTGTGCTTCATTCGTTTCCACTGAGAGGCTGGACTGACTGGAACCTTTATAGAGAGCAACAGTGCTGAGGACCTGATGTTCACACTATGTTGTTTTTTTCTCCAGACTCGCTTTAGTCTGATCCTATCCACTGAATGCTCATTTGCAGTTGGACCACATCTTCCAATTTATTTTCATCTGAAAGGCACCCAAGTCTCAAGCTCCAAAACTGCTTCATGGTGTGAATTAAAGCAGGGCAAAAGGAGGTAATCGGGAGTATTAGCATTAATGACCGCAGTGCTAGGATGACTATAGAACTTGCTCTAGCAATMGAAAATACTGGAATTCAAAAGGCTTTAAAGCTCATGCAATTTCTGTTATTAAATAACTCATCCACACAAAGCATTCTCAAGAGAACAATCATACTTAGCCCAGGGCTATGTATGCTCTAAAATAGCGCAGTGAGGTTTACCTTGCCTGCAACAGCAGGCTAAGACCTGGGAGAGAACCCTGTTGAAACGGTTTGTGCCACTGAGAAAACAACCCTCCAGCTTCATTTCTTTCCACAAGGAATAAGTCACTGCCACAAGGGTGTAGTTTAACTTAAGGTCACTATTCTCCACCTATTTGCAAAAACATACTAGACTACCTGCAATATTCAGTCCTCCCGTTGGACTGTTTTCTTAGTTATCGCTCTTGGAAGACAGCTGTAGGAACATTAACACTCCTCACTACAAAACTG